TGCACAGGGCCCTACTGTGGCTGCAGCTCTTCCTGGAGGGGCTGAGGACCGGCCAGGAGGACTCCCGGACATCCGTTATCTGCAGGGACTCCTACAACGCTTCCCTGGCGAACTACCACCCCTGGGTTATTCGCAAAATTGCCACGGCTGCCTTCTGCACGCTTCCCGCCCGGGACGCCTTTCTGGAAATCATGAACGTGGGCACGCCCGAGGAAGCTGTGGCGATGCTGGGCGAGGCCTTGCCCTACATCCGCACCGTCTACGGCATCACCCAGGAGCTCTTTGCCCAGCATCAGCTGCTCGACCTTCCTTGACAGGAGGGATGTTAAAGCTCCACGCCTCATGCTGACAGAATTAGGATGAACTGGATGAAAAACTCTGTGTTCTCACAGGTGAATTAGGATGAACTGGATGAAAAACTCTGTTCTCACAGGTGCACAAGTGTCTGGTTCTCTGTCTGTGGTCACTCTCCCTTTCCTTTTCCAGCTGACAAGTTGGTAAAGCTATTCAGGATGCCTCACTTTACAAAAGAAAAATAATGTACCAATTTTTTAATGTGTATTTATATATATATATCTGTTTCGTGTGTGTAGAGCCTCAGCTCTACAGTAAGAAAAAAAAAAGCACTTTTACATGCCTGAAGTTCTCATATAATTAAGTTTCTACAGCGTACCTGCTTCTCTTCATACACGGAAAAGTATTCTAGCCTTATAGCAAAAGTGATGTATCACTTTGGCAGTATGAGCAGGTTTTATGATGCACTATAAATATATAATAAGCCAATAAAATGCAGCAAATTGAACTTGACAATTTAGAGCTATTCTGTTTTGTAAGATTCAGACCTGACAGGAAAAAAAATGCAGAAAATGATGCAACCTAAATTACTGTGCTGTGGAGCTTGTACCTAAACACAAGTTTGTAAACTGAAGTTAACGTCATAGCTCAGTGTGGCAAAAATTCAGATCAGCCAATAGCAACTTCCTAAAAATAGCAGTGCAGCTGAGTAGCAGCTCACCAACCTTGCAGTCTAGGAAGGGGCTGCTCCAGACGAGTTCTTGCGATGCACTGAGGAAGATTTGGTCATCTCCGTGATGAGGTGACCTTGAATTTAAAAAAAAAAGAAATAAAAATTACTGCTGTGTAAGTCACTGCCCTTAAGATCAGGCAACTCAATATATAATTCAGAAGTTCATTTAAAAATAAACTATGTGCCATTCTTTCAGGGCAGCAGTTTCTAAGTAGGGACACACAAGTGAATGGGATCAGAGAGCCAGGGAGAACCTCAGATAACAGCATAAAGCAATGCCTGGGAGCAAGTAAATGTTCTCCTCCTCAGCCTCTGTATTATGGTTACAGGCCCCGATGCTTTTAGATTTGCAACTTCACAGAATCATAATCACAGAATCGCTCGGTTGGAAAAGCCCTCTGAGATCATCACGTCCAACCGCTCCTGTCTACCCCCTAAACCATATCCCTTAGTACCTCGTCTACCCGCTCTTTAAACACATCCAGGGATGGTGACTCCACCACCTCCCTGGGCAGCCTGTGCCAGCTTCTGACGACCCTCTCAGTAAAGAACTTCCTCCTTCTCTCTAACCTGAACCTCACTTGATTGCAAATTGATAATGATCTGCTCCCAGCATGAGCCAAGTCACAAACCAGCTGTGTGTGGAAGCTGTAATCAGCTTCCACAGACCCATTCCATCGAGGTTTTTTTCTTGTTTGGTAGGGGCAGGGAGGGAGTTAATGCAAAAGGCATGTGGCCAAATAAAGGTGGGGCACCCAGGTTTACCACCTATCCTACAGGAAGTCTGGTTTCCAGAGCTGTGCCAATGAATTCAGTAAGTCATGCTCAGTAAAGGCTGCTCACTGAGGAAAGGAAGCCAGGATTAGGGCAGTGGTTTGCAACCAGGTACACTCAGAGGGTATTGCTGTGTATTTGACTATTGCCCGCTGAGCACAGAGTTAATGCATTTTGCTAAACAAATTCTTCCCTGTTATTTTAATCTCTTCGAGCTCTATTTAAAGACGCTTCCCGAGAACTGTTGAGACTGGATCCTCTGCCCCTCTTCCCTCTGCCACATTCGGAGATTTCTTTGAAATTTTCCCCAAAACAGACAAATAATGCTCCCTGACCTGCTGCTGTGCCTGAGCTTTGGTTACGCAGCGGCGCTCAAACCCACGTGCCTGTCAGCTCAGTTTAGGCGGCCCGGTGATTATATCATCGGAGGCTTGTTCCCTTTTGCAGTGGACACCGTAAACCTGACGGCACGATCGGAGCCCACAGTCGTGGTGTGTGAAAGGTAAGAGGGATGTTGGGTTAAGTTGGGTCACTTGGGCTGGGGAGAGAAAGGAAAGTAGTTCGGATAGCAACTGGTGGTATCAGAGCTGAACTTCCAAGGTGAGACAGAAACAAAGATGAGCTCTAAGGCGCTGCTGTACTGTGCCATCCATTTCTGATCGTGAAATGGAAAACATTTTGGGGTTTTCTTGATGCTACTTTAGATGCAAGCAACCCTACTTTGATGAAAGCTTTCAGTGGCATCAGCTTCCTTAGTGGTTTGAATCTGAACACTTACACAAAGGTGTAAATGTTGCTTTTGCTTCCAGCTGGAGTGAGCAGCAGGCACTGCTCTCCACAGGCAGATGACACGTGTTGAGATGGCACTATTACTTTGATGAGGACACTCAGTACTTGTGCACAAGGCAAAGCAGGAAACAAAATCACCTGGCTTGCAGGTTTGCTGGTGTGTGAAGAGTTAAGATCAGTATTCCCTCCTCAGTTACACCAAGGTGGTTCACACCATCACGTTACAAGCTACTGAAGGTCTCTGTGAGGAGAATGAAAAGATGCGCTGGTGTCTTACCTGCTTCTTTGGCAGCAACAAAGCACAGAAAAGCACAGTCCAAAATCTTTCCATCTTCGCAGGCCACGAGGCAGGGAAAATTCCCAAGGCACTGAGCTATACAGCAGAGGAAAATCCCAGGGAGAAGGACATTGCTCCTGAATCAGCAGGCACAGCACTTTGGGACCACTGGTTTCACGGCTGAAGCACATAAAGCTAAGAGCAAGAGGTCACCTGAGTCTTGACCCTCACAGCTAAACAGGCTGGTCTCTGTATGCCTCTGCTTCTCCTGTGAAGCACAGAGGATATATTTGCTGCCAGACAAGATTAATTAGATGTGAAAGGTGCTCAGAGCCACTCACAGCACAAAGTTTACAAAGGCTATGGGTACAGGGATGCTCTGCTGTCAGGGCTGTGTGTGTCTGGGTTGGCAAGAGACGGGATGCTAAAATGTCGAAGAATGTGGAGTAAACTGATCACCACTGTAACAGCACTGATAGATCACATAATTCCCCATCTCCTCTTATTTCAGGGTATTTCTAGAAGGGCTAACGTGGGCTCTTGCGATGAAGTTTGCTGTCGATCAGGTCAACAATTCCACTTCACTCCTCCCAGGAGTAACGCTGGGCTATGACATATTCGACAACTGCTTCGAGCCACTGGCGGCCTTACAGCCCAGCCTGCTCTTCCTGACCCGAAAGGGCACAACGGGCATTGGAGTGCTGTGCAACTACACCGACTACCAGCCTCGTGTGACTGCTGTGATCGGACCTCATAAGTCAGATCTCTGCCTGGTAACGGCCAAACTGTTCAGCTTCTTCTTGATCCCGCAGGTAAAGAACTCAGTCACCACAACACAGCGAGCTGTAATGGTCAGGTAAATTCAGCCCTGAGATAAGATGTTACTGCATCTTGGGTGCGTTACCCTTTGTAGAAAGAAGCTAATTGGCGTTAATGAGAAGGGCTGGTGCTGGATGGACACACATGGCAGTGGAAGGAGACAGCCATGTGGGCAGTGCTGCTGCGGGCAGGTGACAGGAGCCCGCTTATGGTTTTCTTGGTACATGCAGCCTTGATGGACCTATCCCTTTAGGTGGGTTCTTCCTTCCCACTATCCTGACCCAGCATTTTTCAAAATCTAGTGCCCTGAGATGAAGCAAAGGAGGTGGACAGACCTGGACTGTCAATGTTTCCCTTAGCTTTACTCTGCCTCGCTTTCTCTATCCTGTCATTTGCAGGTCAGCTATGGAGCCAGCGGTGAGAAGCTCAGCAACACCGAGTTGTACCCATCCTTCTACCGTACTGTTTCCAGTGATAAGAACTTGGTGGAAGCTGTGGTCCTGCTACTGAACAAATTTGGATGGAACTGGATTGCCACCATTGGAAGCGATGACGAATACGGCCGAGGAGCCAAGGGGCTCTTCTTAAGCATTGCTGAAAATCACAGCATCTGCGTTGCATTTGAGGGGCTAATTCCTACAGACCTCACAGACCCCACAGCCAAAAACCAACTGGAAGATACCATTAAGTCAATTAACAAGACCAAAGTCAACGTCATTGTCCTTTTTGCCTTTGGTCTGCCAGCCCAGGCCCTGCTGGAATACAGCATCAGGATGGGACTGAGCAAGAAAGTCTGGATTGGCACTGAAGCCTGGCTGCTGTCTGACGTAATTGCCTCTATCCCAAATATTCAGAGCATTGGGACAGTCTTGGGCTTTATTATGCAGGTTGGCACAGTCCCTGGCTTCCAGGAATATGTCACTGACCTCTTTACCTCTGTTCAGCAGGAGAAATTTTGCCAGGAGTCTCGAGAATTCAACCACCTGATGGACTACGACACGCTGGACACCCACTGCAAACAGTGCGACCACGTCTCGCTGCACGACATGCCGTCCACGCTAAGCCTCTCGCAAATACAACCCGTGTATGTCGCAGTCTACAGCGTGGCCTATGCACTGCACAGAGCGCTGGGGTGCACCCACCAAGCGTGTCCCAGAGCCTCCATCAGGGCCTGGCAGGTGAGTAAAGGCCGATAGCTGCGATCTTAGCTCAGGTAAGGGACGACTGATTTCAGCCAGAAATTACCTTACTGCATTACCATCCTCCAAGCATCGTCTGTACCTACACTTACTGTCAATTTTAATTTTCTCCCTAGTTGCTGCACTTCATGAATACCCTCCCATTCGAGGTGAACGGCCGAAGTTTCAGGTTTGATCAATCCCATAGCACGAACACTGGCTACAAGCTTATATTCTGGTCCTGGAAAAACAGCACGCTTACTTACGTGCCTATTGGCGACTATGAAGAGTCCTTGTACATGAATAAGTCCCAGATCCAGTTTCACACTGCAGATCAAAAGGTAAAGATTGCATAAGCAATCACAAAATGAAGTAATTCTTTTTGTATAAAGATCTCTTAGCCTGCACACTACTGCTACAAGATTAGTGTGGGACCCAGTTCTTGCTCCTCTACAAACATGTAATCCATTTCCAATGTGCAAAACCAGGAAAAGGGATTCCCAGCAGTGTTTAAGACTCAGACAGGTTGGATCCCAGCACAGCACAGCCAATTCCTTCTAATCTGTTTGGTGACACGGTGCTTCTCCTCAAAGTGTCCGGCTGACGTTCATTCCTG